CACATTAATTCTCTGAATTTATTTCCTACCAGTCTTCCCCAAGTCTTCAAATTTCCAGCTATACTGGCCCCCTTGCTGTTCCTCAAAGACAAGTATGATCAAGCCTTAAGATCTCTGCACAGACTCCTCTCTGCAGATATGCTCTATACCCAGGTAGCTGCAGATCTAAAGCTCTCAGGTTTACCTATCTAGGACACTTTAACCCTTTCTTTCCTTCCAACAAAAATATATCTCCATTTTCTGCTTTACTTTTTTTCTTATCACTTATTATCTAACATACTATATGTCTTAATCTGCTCAGGCTGTCATAAAACAGTACCACAGACTGTGTGTCTTAACAAAGATGTATTTCTTGCAGTTTGGAGGCTGAGAAGCCCAAGGTTAAGGTGTCAGCAAGGTAGATTTCATTCTGAGGTCTCTTCTTTTGGCTTGCATGTGACTGCTATCTCACTGTATGCTCATATGAACTCTTCTTTGTGTAGAGAAAGGGGAGGTGGAGGAACCAGCAGTTAGCGTAATGGCTATGTCGCTGGATTCCCATGTAGTTGACCGCGGTTTGCGTCCTGGACCCGGTGGCTTAAAACTCACACCGGGCGCGTGTGCGTGCATGCCCAAGATCCCGAGAGGAGAATGGAGGAGAAGGGACTGCAGTGTGACCATCCCCCCTGGGGGTTGATTTCTCGCTTTCTGTCTCTATGTCTCTCTCTGTCTGGCTGGTGAGCACACGCGCCCTATAGTGAAAATCTCTCCAAAAAAAAAAAAAAAAAAAGAAAGGGGAGGTGGGGAGGGAGAGAGCTCTCTGGTGTCTCTTCTTATAAGGTCACTTATATTATCAGGCTAAGGCCCCACCCTCATGACCTCTTCTAACCTCAATTATCTCTCAAAAGACCCAACACTTGCTTTAACCACCATGCCACAGAGTTGGTACTGTGATAGTACCAAGAGGGACTTGATGCTAGCTGGCCTGGACAGTGTTGATGGCCTAATATCTCTTCATCTACAAAACAAGGGTTTGAGAGTGGTACACAAATACATTCTGCTCAGGTAAACCTACATACAAGGCTATTGGTTTCTGATGAACTTTTCAAAGCTAAGATTCTGTAGACTGCAAATTCTTTGATCAGTGATGCCATGATTGGGATATGTATGCCATGTTCTGTCCTATGAATGAGGTACAGTGACCAGTTAATGGGGGAAGTGGATTTTTTTAATTGCTAGAGGGCATGTGTGGAGGAGTCCGACCCGGTGAGGCCCCAAAATCTGTCTGAGCCCCCCGACCTTTGAGCTCCGCTTTCGGTTGAATTAACACGTTGGCAAGGCCACTGTTGTATACCCCCC